TCGCCAACGCAAAGTTTTAGTCGCCAGGCAAATTTTTCTTAGGCGCCAACTTTAAAAGCTGATAATAGTCAATATAAGGGGTGTGTGGGTCTTTTACAATCGTAAAGAAAAAGATCTACAAGAAATATAAGTCAGCTAAATGCCAAAAGGTTTTAACTTTAGCATGAATGTAAAACTCCATCTTTTCAAGCCACTGTTCAGAGTCCGCATATAGTTCTCTCCTACTGGCCAGAATAAGAGAGATGATCGTACATTTTGGCCCCGGTTTGCGACGATGGTAAAATCTTGTACTCAAAATATTTTAATTTAATCAATCACTCTTTTTAAGATACTTAGTTCTCATGAAATATTCTTTAAAACTATTAACATTTTAAAGTATCCACATCTAATTTACACCACATATTGCTGCACAGTACTCCTGAACTTTATTTTAGTGGGGAATAAAGAAAGAGGCTTGATAGAACATTTACTGGAACCCGCTATGTATCTTTGTTTGTAAGGATTTTTATGAAGTTTCGGAATCCCATGTAGATATGGTAATTCAAATTCATGTTGGTTGTTGGGAATATTAAAAATATTCAAAATGACATATTATTTTAAAGAATTTCCTCCTCAGAAAGGGAGCTATGGGTATAAGTTGGATTACCACTTGTTGAATTAAATCCCAGTTCCTCTAAAATACAATTTAAATAATGGGCCTTACATACAAAGACAATGTTGTTACCTGCTTTGTCAGCAGGGACCAGTACATACTGATCGTGTTTACTAATCTATTTAATAATTCTTTTTTTCACTTCTGAATTATTGAACACAGAAGGATAGTTGGTTTTCATTCATTTTTTCCTTTTTTTTTTAATTTCCGGACTTTGATGAAAACATTAAACAAAAACATACATGTTAACCTATACTGTGATGAAAAAGAGGGAGATTCAGACCTCAAAAAAGGTAGTATTGCGCGCGTTGTTTTACGCATCGATTTAAGATCGAAGATATATATGTAAATATTGCCTAAATTGACCCCTGCAATAATTAAACTCAAATATTAACTACAATGAAGAAGACTAAAATACCTTTAACATAAATAATATACACAAATATAAATTTTTTCATGCTTATTACTTTGGTTTTGAATGGCTGCTTAATTTAGCCTTTTGAAGAATAATCTTTGTTGATATAACCTAGCTGGAAGCAATAATTCTGAATGATCTTTCAGTTGTCAAATACAGGGAAAGATGACATTATTTAGCCTAATTCAGATCTAAAACTCGTGCTTATCTTTCGTTAAAAAAATTGGATTTCCCGCGATGACCGAAAACGAAAGTAGAGATGCAAAAAAGTATTATAAATGAATGCTGATTCCCTTTTTTACTTTATTGAACGATGTCAAAAGTTTTCATTCACTACTAGAATACTATATCTCCCTTTTTTCGGCGAAATTTATCGTAACCAATGTAATCACGGAGAATTGTGCTCCTGTCGTTGTCACAAACGTGCTTGAAATCTGTGTAAACATCGTATAACAAGCATTCTGAGAGTATTGCATTAGCAATACTAGTCCCCTACCGGCAAGTGTAATCTGGTTCCCGTTAAGAATTGAAATTGCCATAATTCTGTCAAAAATTAATGAAGCGGGACGAAATGCAAACTTGATCTATAACTAATCAAGGTAAAGCCACATACCAAAAATCAGCTCAATATCTACAAGCGTTTAGAAGAAAATTGCGGAAAACCCGTAAAAATTGAAAAGGCCGTAATTCCGTCAAAAATCAATGAAGCGGAACGAAATGCAAACTTGATCTGTAACTCATCAAGATACACTCACATACCAAAAATCAGCTCAATATCTACAAGCGTTTAGGAAAAAAGTGCGGAAAACCAAGTGGGACAGACTGACAGACAGACAGAGGGACAGACAGACAGACAGACGGACGGACAGACTCAGAGGAAACCTATAGTCCCCTCCGGTTTCACCGGTAGGGGACTAAAAAAAGCATTTAAATGATCTGTTCAAATCACGCGATATCTAACGAGGTTATATGACGAGTGGCTTCAAAAATTACTACTCAAGCGAACCAAAAATGGATTTTTGTAGAAAAGCGGTAGATTTACGAATAAAAGCGTTAGGCGGAAGATGGAGTTAAAAAAAAAAGCGGTAGGCTTCCGCCCATCGTCTCAAGCCACGGTCCAGAGTCCGCATATAGCTCTCTCCTACCAGAATGGGAGAGGATCGTACATTTTGGCAGTGGCTTGCAACGATGACTTCCGCCTTAAGCGATAGAGTAAACATGTATGACAAAAACAATTTTCTGTAGTCTTAGATATTCAAAACATCATTCACTCCTACAATAGAAATTGTCATGTATATAGTATACACAATCGAGACTTCTCGGGTCTTCCCGACAAGTGGAAAAATAACCTCGAATGTGTTACGTAAGCGTCCACGACCCCCCCCCCTTTATAAGCTTTGAGATAAATGTAGAGAGACCTCTTATCTATAGAGTTTGGAGCTCAACTGTACTGAATGTAAAATATACTACAGGAGTGACTTTTAATTCTGTCTTTCCAATACTTTAATAAACAGGAAGCGACTCCATCTTGTATAAATTTTTAACATCCGGTGATGTTAATACATTTGAGGTTGTTTTTCCGACCTCTGACGGAAAGGCCCGAGATGATGCGATTGTACATTGTATACATAATGAAACTTCTACTTATGATTTAACGATAAAGTATCTGGTTTACAACACAATTTCAGCCATCTCTCAGACTAAATATAACCTTTAATAAGATGTTTGAAGGCATGTTTCTTGCGGTTTTATCTTGGTATTTTCACTGCCTATCCAATTAATATCAGAAAATGACGACAGCCGCTTTAAGCTTTGTCTTGTTTTATGAAGAAAACAAGATGTGTTTGTGAAACACTATGCACCCGGCAGCAACAAAGTTCGAAAAAGCTATTTTTTTTAGCATATAGGTCACAGTCAAGGTCACAAGGTCATTGACCTTAGTGTCATTTGAAAGAGCTTAATTAGTGGAGTATGCATACCAAATATGAAGTCTCTATCTCTCATGGTTCAAAAGTTATGGCGAAGGTTAAAGTTGACAACAGACAAACAGACAGACAGGACAAAAACAATATGCGCCCCCGATCTATCGATCCTGGCGCATAATAATCATTTCAATCCGAAAACTTCATTTAAAGTTTATGGCATTTTAACCCTAGGCCATTAAGTGAAAAAAGTCAAAACTAAACTATTCTTCACCTGAATTTTCATCTGAAATATTTTGGTATATATGCAATAAGTCTATCTAGGGCAATTCAGTTTCACAAAAACCTCATTGCTTACGAACTTTAGGGAAAACCCTCGTACATATATAAAACTACTGTAAAAATTCAGTGTAACAAAGGAGTTGAGTAATAGGACCTTCGTTTGTAAATTTTTGTAAAACAATTTTGTAATTAAAATAATTTGTAAATAAATTTACGCATGTATAATGATGTGCAATACGCTCTAGAAACTTCAATCAAAACAGAAAACATTAATCTTAGTCCAGAGAGTATTGAACCTCGTGTTAAATAATTAATGAGAATTTTCTACATAGATTGATTAAATGATATTTGTTGTATGCTTCACCTAAGATTTAGTGTCGTAAAAAAAGAACAAATTTCAGGTAGAAAGTAATCTCCAGATCTAACCAATATCAAAATATTGTATATGTGTTAATATTGACTTTCTATCAATATTACCTCTCGTTCTTCACAACCAGGAAAATCAACCACAATCCTGCAATATATTTTAATGACACAGAATAAGTATGATCACATATATTATTCAATATAGTACTTGAATTTCATATGCATATTTCATATTCCAATGCAGCGATAAATCTGGTCAAGGTGACATCGAAGGTCACTTGATCTATTCACTTTTGTATTATGATGCAGTAAAATCCATAGACATAAAGATCCATAAGATTAAAAAGGGAAACTGGATTATTTGCTCTTCCGATGTGTGTTATTTAGTTTCGACAAGAACATATAACATATGTACCCCTGTTAGATTAGAAGCATTCAGACAAATAAAATATACATGTATGTAAATTCTGTTCTCAGCAGTAACGTTTTTCAAAGTGCCCCCACCCTCCCCGACCTTCCCCAGAATGATGACAAGCTAAAGGTAAAAAAAAAAAATCTAAATGAAAATTAACATATAAAAACTACAGCGAAAGTCTATTCTCAGAAAAAGTGGTGGAGTCCCCCCCCCCCCCCCCCCCCGCTGTACTACGGGCCTACAAATTTACACTTATTTATTTCTGCTACTGATCGACTAAGTACTTTGGCAAAAAGTTCGCCTTTGAAAAATATCTTTTAAATGAGCAAATGGAAGGCGTTTTGTTCGTTAAGTTATTTCATTAAAGACCATGCACAGACGACTCTTTACATAAGAACATATAATTGTTTTAAATCAAGATTTTATTTTATTGCAAGACTTATAATTTTGTATTCATTGTCCCTTGTTCTTAAAAAAATCAATTCGAATACATACTACCAAAATGAGTTTCAGTCATTGTTTCTACTAGACCAACAATAATGTTTTGTGCTTTGTGTCGGACCTAAAAATTAATTTTCTATCTCCCTATGTTTCCTTCAAAAGTATAATTGTGCGATGGATGTAACATTTTTTTCTGTTATTTGGTTTTACTGAGAATATTTGACGCTGTTTTTTTTTTTTAAGGCGAGCTGATTTACAAATAACTGCAGTCTGTAATAGCCAACAGAAAAAAGAGGGTATTGCTTAGCATTTTGTGAATTGATTGACATATGCGAGGCTCTCTCTTGCCATAGTACACATTAACGTGTGAGAGATACAGAGTGTAGATTAGTTTCTTATTCACCACTCCGTTGTGTGCAGACATCAAACAAGGGTAGTCAAAGCAGTAATGAGGAACTTTAAATGTGCGCTATCTGACCCTTCCCTTGTAATAATTATTGATTCAGTTTAATGGATGGTTTCGAGAGCTGGTATAGACATATATATGATATAATACTGCTTCATGGGACATATTCATATCGAGGTTTTTTTATGTTTGAATTTGAAAAGAACCCCTGTAAAGAAATTTTGTACTAAAAAAATATTATTATTCCTAGCGGCGGTATCTTCCATGCAGTTTTCTGTTTATTCGATATGTAATGTGCATTGTTGACGAACAGGAGTGTTAAATCCAAGGCGACAGTAAAGACCTGCATCTTGACAAAAGGTATGTGAATAATCGGCAGTTATTCATTCAATATTCAGATAATGCCTTTATGGTTTTTCTTTTGCTTGAGAAACTTGGTAGCGAAATTTCCTACCTTGATTTATTTCAAAATCTTTCTCTTTATGAAAATAACATTCTTCTTCTATATACATGTATATCAATACAGTTTCTGCGGAGATTGTTTAACTAATTTATTTATTTATATTTTCTTTATATATTTAAATCACATATTGTGTAAATTTGTGGCAAAAAAAAATGTTCTCATTGGTTGGTTTCAAATGTAGAGTGTTTCAGAACACACACGAACAGTTTGGTATAAAAAGTAGAAATGCAGAAAGAACCTGTAACAAGAGTTTTCTGAAAAGTGACAATCAAGTTGCAAGACATTCAGGGCGTTGAGTTTTTTAGCATGTGTTGTTTTCCATGTCAAATTTACTAACATGATTGCAAGCTTGCGACAATGAACTGGACGTATGAAAAACTCTCTAAGATTCTATCAAAGAGAACCTTTTCTGAAATACCGAAAAAGTGACTTTTATCTACTTTGGAAATTAAAAATATGCAAGGTACTTTGTATCTTTTGAAATTAGAAAAAAATTCTAAAATACCAAAACTACCATGTGACTTTTTTCTACTTTGAAAAATTAAAATATGCAATATATCTTTTCAAGATCACATTTAAATAGCTCTGCTCTTGTAACATGCAATATACACATGTTAAATATTAAGTTCCTAGGCGTACCTCTTAGATCTAAAAGATTATTATTATTTTTTAATAGATAGAGAGTCTTCGCAGGCGACACAAAAACTGCACAGTCATTTAAAGTTTTCATGTGAAGGTTTTTAAATCAAGATTTCATTTAATGGCAAGATGGAGTTGTCGATTTTTTTAATTGTACTTTAAAACACTATATAATAGATCTTAACATTACATGATAGATCTTAAAATTTTGAAAGAGAACTGAACAGTTTCTTTCAATTGCAATTTTCAGCAACCATTTTCATATTTATTTCCTTGGCTAGACGATTTTTATTTAATTTTGCCAGTACTGTTCACTGAAAATTATTCTTTTGCCAGTTGAAATTTTAACAACAGCCGCCATGTTTAAATATCTTGAGGGTTGTTTTATTTGAAATCAGTTTTTAAGATATGTACATTATGTAATGCTATTTGCAGTTGAATAATTTATGTGTATGTAAAATTAATTTGAAAATTGAGGATACATGCACCAGAAATTTATTTGTAAATTTTGTGTTCATTCATAACTTTCTTAGCAGAATGAGAAAAAAATACTTTCATATTTCTAGATCAAAGTTTCTTGACTATATAGAAAAGTATTGATTGTTTGCAGTGTGCGGTACTGTTTCTGGCTTTGAATATCAAATACTTACAGCGTTATAACCATCTTTAAACATACTTCAATGTCGTGTCTTTCAATCTTCCGCGTTCTTTGCAAAATGAGTCGAAGTACATGATTCCAATTTCTGTAAGATTCGAATCTACACTTGTAATGGTTCTTTTGTTGTTGTCCTGGTTGGTGATCTAGCAGGAAGTGATGTAAGTTACATTACATTCCTAAGCTTTCCGTGACTGCAAGGGCGTTATTGGTTCAAAGATCTTACGATATTGTATGAAAACTATGTACACGAAGTAAATCATTTTAAAATATATACCGCCCAAAGACCGATGTTATGGTATCAAACACCTATGTTAAGGTATTCAGTGTATAAAGACCATATTTTGCATCTAATAAATGAATGGTCCGATATTTTTCATCATGTAAGCGTTTTGAAGGTGTTATCAAATAAAAAATACTCCACCAAAGGAATTTACAAAATTTTGATTATTGTCCAGTTATTTACACCTTGAATTTTACATTGAAGTCTATGGGCATCGTATGTGTTATTAAGATAGTTGAAAAAGTAATTTGAACTTCATCTCAAATGTCTTGGTGAAAGTATGCATAAACTCTCTCTTTATTAAAATATGAAATAAACTTAAACATTTACCACAGATACTTTGACAAAATTTAAATTTTCTTCTTTTTATCAAGGACAGATAACTCTTCAAAAACGTTTAAGGTGCAAAATGGTTGGCTTATATGTTATCAGTAATGTAAATTTGGTTCATTTCATTTCAGCGTTAACTAGCAATACATATTTAACTAGTTTAAAATGATTCAAAATTAATATCCCTTCATTATACATTGAATACCTTAAGAGAAGGTAACTGTATCATTCTGGTTGGATATACAAGTAGTTAGATCTATGCAATGTGTAACATACATGTACAAGAAATTAACAATACATTATGAAATAAACTGAATTTTTTGTTCCTTAAGACATGGAGGGTGTGTTGACGATTGTCGGATTGGGGAGCCTCATGAATGTCTTAATTCGACCCGTACAGAGCGATATTACTGTGTTCAGCAATGCACGGTAGTCCTTTATATCTCTTAATTTTTAATTTTTCATGCATCGTTTATATTTTCTATTCTTCATTGCCATGGTATGTAGTTATTTTTCTAAGTTCTGTTTCCAGGTACTTTGCCATCTATTTTCTTTGCATGGTCACTCTGGGTTATGCCGAAAGTGCAAGGTATTATGTTATATCTGATCTTGTACATTATTTATATTACATCTGATCTTGTACATTATGTGAAGATTTTTTTTTATTTTCATGAGTTATGCATTTGTTATTTTCATATTTTCAAACATGCCTATCACGAGACAAAACAAGCCAACAATTTAAAAATATTGCAGAATCTGATAAATCAAACGAATGAGTATGATATTGTATTTATATAAATTGCTTTTTTTCTTAAGATTTGTACTTCTATATTTATTAAAATAAGGTTTTCCTTTTTTTAATTTATCGTCACATAAGATTTCGAGAACAACGAAATTTAAAGTTTTTTTTTCATATTTGCAGCCGTTTTTTTTTTTTTTTTATTCCTTTCAAGCTATTTTATTTATTTTTTGTTTCATTTATGATCATCGTCGAAAATAGAAAATAATGGGGTTTTCCATAATCTTTTCACACAGCGGAAAGTAAGTAATTTTAAATCATACACATATGCTTTTTATTTAATTGTTTTAAACTATTTCCTCTTTAGGCGTATTTTCACGTAAAGATATACGACCCCATGGCTCGATATATTTTTGCATGCTTTGCTATTCACGATCTCTTTCTTTCTTAGGTCCGCAGATTAGACACTTTCGTGTTTTACAGTTGTACTTTTACTGTACAAAATTTATAAGTAATATTATTTAAAAGAGTTTGTTGATTTAAACAACCCGGCCTGAGGAACTTTCTGTATTCGCTCTGATGAAATAAAAAAAAATCAAAAACACCCTATAGGTTATTTAATCGTAAAAACATCGTATATTTTGTCAATAACTTGCCATAAAACGTTTTTGGGTGTAAACATTGCTATTGAATGCCCTTAGCTATTGGGATTCTAGTTATGAATACTTCCTTCGACGCAATAAACCTCTCAATGTTCATGAATTTACATGCTTTCTTATAAAACGGGCAAGCATCAAAGGAAGAAATATCAATGAGTCCGTTTTCCAACAAAACCTAATAACTATTCTAATTAAGATTTTTTAACTAAAAGAAATAGTATTTTTGAAACCGGCGCTTTCTCTCTCACATTTATTCCCTAAAGTTCTTTGCAGTATAATAAGGGCAAACATATTAACCCGACAATTCCTATGCATTAAATTCTCGGTTTCTTAGTCTTATTGCTAATTAATAGATATTATTATGGCACGTATGTGACCTCAGATCCTCTTAAATATGCTCATGGGGGAAAGGAATGCATTGGCAAAATAACTTATCATAATAGTTAACGAGAAATGAGCAAACATTAGGCACCATTGTTCCATATGTTACGACTTCAACAAATGTATTTATTGAAAGTAACGAATGCTTCATTGCTTTTGCAATTTTACACGCTTATTCAGACAGTGTAAGTTTTATACCCCCTCCCCCTTCTTCACTATGCTTTTAAATAACTTTTGATATCAATGTGCTTTTAGATTAAATAGCTGATTATGTGGTTTAAGAAAAACGTTGACGCAAATACAGTTAACGAGAGAATATTGCGCAATTTCCAGCTCATCTGATCCAAGATGACTTTTTCTTTTCTCAGATTCGTTCGTTGTTTGATTGCATATAAACTATTATTTCATTTTTTTAACTAAACAATACATATGTGTACTTTGGAATATTTTCATAGACTACATCTGAGATAGTAAAAAATCTTGAAAAAAGAGTATAGAGGTATTGAACTTGAAATAATATCTAAGAGAAGACACTTTTTGAAAGGACTCAAATTATGGATGGTAATTGAAATCCACAAGCAATTAAGAACATCGTTAACCAAAGTTCTCAAGATGGCAATGCTAGCTAAAATATTTGTCTTCAATATTTTCCGTAAATATCGTCGTCTATAGTCATGATCAGATATGCATTTCGAATTAGCTACGAGAGAGGTTAATGTTTTAAATAGTCAGTCCATGGAAATGTTAAAATAACTCAAATGAAATTTTTTGAACTCTGTCCAGTCTAAAATCTCTTTTAACAAAAGATCAGAATAAATTTTGATGAGAATACAAGAGATTCCGCTACTTTTAATGAAAACTATTTGTGAGGAATAGAATGATTATAAGCATGGAACCTGTTGGTGATGTGGATAGAGTAGAAGTGAACGTTCTGGTTAAAGGATGATTATCTGTAAGTTCATTTTCCGGCCTACAATAAAAACTCTTAAAAATAAGATTTTATGTAATTTTAATCATTCTATTTTATGATTCTGATGTTTGTTTTCAACATCAATCACCTAAGTCACGTGATTTAGAGGTGACAAATGGTGGTCATATAAAGAAAAATTGAGGGTAGGTCTATCAATATCAGGTTTCTATGCATGTTTCTAAATGTAAATGATCAAAAATTGTTTACTTATTACGACACATATCAAACTAAAGTAATGAATAAAAAATTGTTTCATTTAAGGATTAAGACATTTTTTTATGACGTGGATTTTGATGCCTTTACATTTTGCATATTTTCAATGTAAATCTTTACAAAATGCACATCGTATTATGTTGAAAAAATGCTTAATTTTCATTTAACTAAAAATTATTATTTCATATAAGTTTTATTTGTAATTGTGCATTGTTCTATAGATGTGCTACCTATTTTACGCATGAAATGCTCGTATAAGAAATGTTGTCTCGAAGTATCTATTGATCTATCACACTTGTGTCAAAATTTTGAAAACATTGAAAGACTTTTGTTTGTGATTGAATAAAAAACTAGTTGTTATTAATTAAATAGGCTCTAAATTAACAAAAATAGGGAAAACATTAATGTACAGGATGAAAATATTAATGCAAGTACATTTTGATTAATCATATGAGTAGTGGGTATATAAAACTCAGAACGGTTGTATTTAAAATATATACTGGTACATAAAATGAAATAACGACGTAAGAATTGTTTTCAATTGATTTCATTTCATTTCGCATGTATGACAACAAATTTAATAAAAAATGCTATCTAAAATATAATACACAAAAGTCAAGACCCTGTCATCACCCTCACCCCTTTTAACAGAACTTAATAAAAATGGGAATCTTTTCAACAATTCCTTCCACTATCCATGTCAAAAGTTTTAGTATATCCATGGACTAATATCACACAAATGTACAAAATGGGCCTTACGGCTTTGCCGCTCGCCTTCGAACTTTGAGGCCGTAGGGTTCAATTCATGTTCTTAGTGCCGCGTCAAAAATAAGACATTTAACGAGGCTAGTGACTGTCCCTTTGCTAAGTCTTCGTTTTTTAAGGTGAATGTCATTGTGTCTTTTGGGTATAACCTTTAAAAAAGGAGGTCCCTTCAATAATGAAATCAAAATTGTGACACTTCACCTTAAGCAGATAATCTCTGCATCTGGGTGAAAAAAATTAAAATGGGGTAATGCAGATATCAATTATCAATCACATGTGACCTTAGGAACCCTTCTCTCCCTTGGCAAAGACAGAACTGCTGTTCTTGTAGCTAAAATGCTAACAAAGATGCGTGTTGCTTCCTGACATCCAAATAGATTGATCGAGTCCTTTCAACACCCAGGTAACACAAATTACTTGGATCTTATGTCACTCATACGGAAAAATATAAGGGTCCCTCTGAAAGATTGGGGCGAGAATTCTCATTATATGAAACCATCCCATAAGTAATTCCTTATCTTTAAAAGTTGCCTATAGAATATGTACCTATAGAAAAATTAGTTAATAAAAAAATAGAAAATGTATCTTCCCACAACAAAAAAAATAGCTTTTACCACTACTAAAAGTAGTACTAACAGATATGCTTTACTCCTAAAGAATAAATACAAAAATGTAGCAAAAATAAAGTAAACTATAATAATAATAATAAAAATTGTAATTAATAACTTGTATTCACACCTTTATATGTAAAAAAAGTTATTTTTTCTTTATTTCAATCAGACAGTTCATGAGAATTGTCTTCACGTGTAATTTTACAACATCCAGTCTTTCCAGTCCTTTGATTTTAGATTTTTTGGTAAAAATTGACATTTTTCGAGTAAAAATGCAGGGCTTATATTATTTTTGTTTATTCAACAGAAACATGTGCTCTAACTGAAGTTTATAATATGAAATAATCTACATAAGCCTTCATTTTCATTCATTAGATTTTCCTGCAAATATCGTAAAAATGAAGCGAACAATTTTTCATTACATGTCCTAACCACCTTTAACCAAGGTTCATAATCTGGTAGTCAATTTTTATGTTTATAAGAAGTTTACATGCACATATTTGTGTTGATTAAAGGTGGTTATAACATGTATAGGAGTTGCCTAACACACCCACCCTATTGAGTTTTCCCATTACCCTAATGCTAATACGGACCGATAGTACATTACTTTGTGACCTTATATCAAAACAAATACTATAACATCATTAACCAATTTTCATTTTAATATCATTAAACTGGATTATTAGCCTACTGATTCATGCAGTTTTTCAAGAGAAAAGTACTGCTTGAAAATTTGAAGTCATTGTAGGCCGCAAAACGACCTTATAGAAAATGGTCCTTTGTATATAATCTATGTACTTGTAATTATGCTTTATTGCTTTTATAATCTCTGTATATTTTTTTGTTTTTAACATTTTTCGTGTGAGTGTAAATTTGATTTTAACATTATAATTCTAGTTCATGTTATAGATTCAGCAAAAATAAATATCGCTTGAATCATATCAAAAGTAAAATTAATGTAAATTTTAATGTTATTTTTTTTTGTAGGGAAAAGATATTACAAGAAATCTTTACAGATTATGATGGGAAAATTCCACCAAATTACGACAATGGTAATATACTTTGCAGTATAGAAAAGGAATTTATTGGCAAATTGATGCGATTTGCTCGATGTTAGATTAATATCCGACTTTTTTACACATGTATCGGGTTTCTTTGGCTTTGCTCGGCTCAAATCTCACAACAAATATGCAAGGGAATATACCATAACTGCCCTGTATGCGTCCCTAACATCATTGTGATTAAGTATATGGAGTTGTATTTGACCTTCCAATGTCAAACATACTACAGGGGGTACATGAACTCACATATTCATTTGAGGGTTTAAAGTCGAAGATAGTTTAGGATATCTTCTTACCAATGTTGTGGACATATATGAAGTGAAGCACTTGACATTTAGCATCAAATTCGCAACAGTGGTCGAGACATCCTCAGAAAGGTCAGTTCAATTAGGATCAAAGATTTACGTCACATTGAGTCCTTGAAGTGTTATGAACACGATGTGTAGAGTACATTTAACAATTTAGTCTAAAACGTGCTAAGGAGGTGTAAGGTGACCAGATGAACACATTTATGTATTTGCCGGTGCAAAAGGTCACTAACAAATATGTATGGACTGAATACTCAGTATATTTAGACATAATCTTCAGTTTGTGAGAGTGGAATGTGTCCTTATTTTCAACCTTGTCCTGTCCTGGAAGGGTTATCCCCCTTTGCTTTTAATCAATAAAAATCAATTATAAAAACTCTATCTGGTAAAAAAAAAAAGAAGTTTTCAATCATTTTGTTATTCCTGATGATTAAATACATCTTTCCACCACAGCATTTATTGATATTCTTAGTATTTGATTTCCCCCAAAAAATTTGCTTGTCTCCATAGAACTCAATGCAATCTTCATTAATTAATAACTGGTTAATTACTGTTTAGGTAATTACACTTTTGAAAACTTCTCCTGGTAAATCCTTTTCTACTCTAAAATGCTTTGAATTAATATCAGAGTATTAAATACATGATGAATAGTTAAGGTTAGAAAATTGCATGTGTCCTAATGTGAGTCGGATACCTTAAAAATACTTATATGTGTACGATGACTTTGAAAACATTCTTAAGGGGAAAACTCAACCTGTTTATGTCATACCTGCATGGAAATCAAAGAAAAGTCGGATATTGCTTCCATCGACAAACATTCCAGGCCCCAAGACCATAAACTGAGAACACACTTAAGTCAAAATTTCAAATCGATATAACTTTCAAAATAATTTTGGTTATAAAATAAAATTTCATATGTTTGAATTGGAGTGTTATGCACAAATGCAAATTTTTAAGCTAATACGTTAAATGAAACTTAAGATATTCAAAATCAAATTTTTGACTTAAGTCAGTTTATGGTCTTGGGGCCAGGATAGTGGTTGGAATCTATAAGTTAAATGTTGTTAACACCAATATTTTCTTCGTTATCTGACGACTGTTTCCTTGATTTGGACGCATTTTTTTTGGTGGTGTCCAGACTTTAGTTCTTGTTGTTTAAAACTCAAATGCTGAAATTATCCCAGCAAACGACACTAGTACATAATTATAATGCCTTGGTTATTGTATGTATAACAATATGAAATGAACAATTCGTATTTAATAAATGTTCTTTTTATTAAATTTTCATGTAATGTATCTCTTTTTCTTACTGACTGAATTCATTTAAAATCTTAATACTCCCTTTTTTAATTTATTTTCAGACACTCCCGTCAATTCTTCTGTGCAGTTTTACATCATTAGTGTTGACACGATCAATGAAGCTACAATGGTATGTAGTACTTCTGTAAAATAAATTATTTTCGTTGGGTCAAATATTCATGGTCTAAGAGAAAAAATACTGATCCTTGGGGATTTGATATCCTGATATAAGAAAATCATACTGTAGTCTGAAATTTTGACATTTCATGGAGAACATTAACTTGTGGGTCTCTTCATATCACTGAAACAATGAAAAAATAAACCAACGAAAATGATTGATTTTACAGCATTAAATAAAACGTTCAAAATTATAAGCTCTTGTGTCCTGAATAAATATTTTATCAGAGAAATATATATAACATTAAATTATGATAATTTGAAAGACTGAAATTGTCTGTAGAGATAACATAAATGCTTTGGGAGAAAAAAAATTGAAAAGGGTGAATTTTAAAAGGTGGCGGCATAGCTTACTCCCTACATCAAACACTGTGATCTGTGTATAATATTTTTAGGATTTTTCAATGAGCTTCTTTTTGAGACAAAGATGGATTGATAACCGTATGAATTACACCCCTGCTTTTAACATGACACGTCTTGAGCTAGACAACAGGCGAATGGCGGATGTCTGGGTTCCTGACCTCTACTTCGTAAATGAGAAGAAAGCAGACGTCCACGATGTCACCGTTCCTAATAAATTGATGCACGTCTATCCGAATGGCCTCATTGTATACAGTATGAGGTAAAGAGTAATCATAATCAAAACTGACATTTGTGTTGTGGATAAACATGCGTTTGTAACGACAACCGAAAGTTCAGCTTATGTCGATAATGATCAAGAATGACGATAATTACTATTTTCATTATGGTTTGATGTTATGTACTAGTATTTACAGCTATTAAGTATAGCTGCTTTTTTTTTTAAAAATGGATCTTCAAACATTGGTAGAGCGTCAGAATGTACATGTTTTTTTAATATCTAAGTGGTAAAAACCAATTTCATCACTGAAATGGATCTCGGGGCTGTACTGAAATTTATATGACAATTCTTATCTTAATCTTTTTGAAGTTTTTTTTAAACTTTCCATCCTTCTTAACCTGCTCTCTTGTTGGCCAACTAAATGGCAAATTTGGTTCGTTTTAAGGGGTCATTTGTGATGTTCGTTTTAAGGAGTCATTTGTGATGTTTTGATACCGGTATTAGTTTTTAAACTTTTTTTAAGCTGGAAGGAGACCTCTTAATTCACAAATTAAACTTTTTCGAGAAAGCAGTGGCATTTAGTTGTGTTAAACATGATCTAGGAGCTTTCACAAAATCTTTTAGCCATTGCATTACAGGACTTTTCAGAGTTAAATAGTGATGAAACTAAGAGTAAAACACGCTATTGTTTTCCTTGAAAATACACTTTTTTCACATGTCTCTTGGGACTCTGTAATCTCTCTATAATAAGTGCTCGGATCTTTTTTTCAGAAATTGCACTTTATCTTCGAGATAAAAATGAAATAGTACTTGGTTAATGGCCGCTATAGACTTGTGGACCATTTCAATCATAATTAGGCTTGTATGTAGCTTAATTTATCATTTCAGAGTTACAGCAGTGTTTTCTTGTACTATGGATCTGCAGAAATATCCCCTAGACGATCAAAAATGCGCCATTGTTATGGAAAGCTGTAAGAACGATTTCCGATCAATTTCCTCCTAGAGTTTGCATAGCATTTTCTTACATGGAAAAGTACATTCATTATTCATTAATTCTTTTGATAAAGGATCCTAAGAGAATTTCAGATTTAAAAAAAAAACACATGTAAAACTTAAATATTTACATGAGCAACTTTTGCCGAATTTTCAAATCAAACAAAACTAATAAACCAAACACATTCTATGCTATTGGCAGCGGTTGAAACAACGACAAACACTTTTTAAAAGAATGTTTTTTTTTCAGAAACAGATGTACTCAGATTTGTTATATTGTTTCTCTTTTAGATGGATACAGTACAGAGACGCTATTTATGCGATGGCACGAAACTCCTGTAGAAACATCAGACAATCTTCAACTTCCTCAATTCGAAATGCAGAACATTAAGGAGTCCAGATGTGACGTTACTTACGCTGGTGGTGGGTATTCTCTCTCTCTCTCTCTCTCTCTCTATAATGTATATTGAATTCCTTATTTAATATCGAAATCCGCTATGTTTGTTTAAGAGATATATTATGCTTCCTTGGTTGTGCTTTGGGTTATCTATGCAGAATTATTCATTAACAAATGTATGTTAATACATAATGTTGATATTAATTCTGAAACATTCTTGTGTTCATGACATTTGTAACTTACACGATGATTAATGAGCTTAATGGTAAAATCAATATTTTAAAGCTAGTTCATTCGAGTCTGCACTACGTCTTTATTAAAAAATGGCTTTAATCTTTCTGATCTACAAGGACAAGTCAATATATTCAGTAATGGATGTAAAAAAATTTATTTTATACTTCACTCGGAAGTGATTTTTTTTTTTTTTTGGTTGAACTATTTTAATTAAGAGTTTAGATATATAGATACTTTGTAATATGTAAAAATAAATTTAAATGGTAAAATGGAATTAATTTTTTTGAAAACACCGAACTGCTTTTAGAGAAGCCATCAGGTGACCATTCAACTTATTATCACAGGGGTAACATGGGAAATTCACAAGCATCGGGTTTCATCTGATACATATACTTAAAAATTCAAGGAACTTTTGGAAAATTTGAAATCACAAGATTTTACCAAAATCAACAGCTTAAAAACTTATGACTTTTCTACTTTATACACAACCATTCCCCACGATAAATTAAAGTCCAGGCTTTTTGATATAATTGACAGCTGCTTTTTCAATAAAAATGGAACTCGTAAATATACTTACCTTGTCATTGGTCATTTGCAAAATTATTTTGTTAAAAAACATTCTGATTGTACACACAAGTACTCTGAAGTTGACATTAAAAAGATGCTTGAGTTTCTGATTGACAATATCTATGTGGTTTTTGGAGACCAGGTCTTCCAACAATCTATTGGAATTCCCATGGGTACCAATTGCGCCCCGTTATTAGCAGACCTTTTTTTTTGTATTCATATGAAGCAGAATTTATCCAAAACCTTGTACGTGAAAAAAAAGAAAACACTTGCTGTGGCTTTCAACTCGACATTTAGATATATCGACGATGCATTGTCCATTAACAATGGCTATTTTCATTCTTATGTCGATACGATATATCCTGGTGAGCTTGAGATAAAAGATACCACAGAGTCTGACACATCTGTTTCATATTTGGATATTTTACTTGAAAAAGACGTTAATGGTAATCTAACAACCAAGCTTTATGATAAACGTGATGACTTTAACTTTTCAATCGTCAACTTCCCTTACTTATGCAGCAATATACCTTCATCACCTGCATACGGGGTATATATCTCTCAGTTGATTCGATACGCAAGAGCATGCTCTACGTATGAACAATTTCTAAAACGAGGTAAATTATTGACAAACAAGTTGATGAAACAAGAATATCAGCTGTCTCGTTTAAAGTCATCATTTCGTAAGTTCTATGGTCGATACAATGACCTTGTCAGCAAATCAGGGATGGGGTAATTGAAAAAAGTAATTGTAATTGACTGTAATTAATTACATTTTTTGAAGTAATTGGAAGTAATTTGTAATTGAACATTTTTTCAATTACTTGTAATTGTAATCTAATTAATTACACTGAAAAAATACCATGTAATTTCAATTACTTTTTCAATTACTTTCAATTACTTTATATAATACACATTCATGATATATTCATGATATATCATCACTACCTCCCCATTTTACTGGTTTTTATTTTATGGATAAACATATCCTCAATCCTTCAATTATACAAAATCTTAGGTTAATGCTTACAAAAAAATAATTAAATGATTAGCTTGATAATAATAAACTAGTTTCTTTCTAATCATTATGTAAATTTTGAATTTTTTTATCTATGTTTATAAATATGAATTTTGAACCACCCTTCTTAGGTCTATTCAGCTATGAAACACACATTTATTATATATCAATCTTTGTTGTTTGATCAATAATAAAGAAAAAGAAGGTGTGTGTCATTAATTAAGTTCTCTCTTGTTGGAAAGAGATAATTGCCCTCCAGATCACAGCTTTAAATTGCAATCAAAACAAATGAACTCCTCTAAAGAGATATTCATTCCATGATTTAGAAGACCAAGCCAATGGAGATAATTATTTCAATTTAAAATGCTCCACTAGCTTTAGAAAAAAAACTTTCAATTTGAAAATTATTTTAATATTAAAACAGATTTTTATGAATGAATTTTCTATCTGTACAATTCTGATTTATGAAGTAAAATTGTTCAACAAAAATAGCAATTTAGGATGTTCAGGTTACCTTCAAAGGAAATATTTAATTTGAGGGGTTACAGTTGCGACTCATTTCACTCTATTAAAATACTCACTTTCAATCAAATATCATAAGCCATGCAATTTGTGTACATGTAGGTTTTGTGTGGTGGAAACTGCATCAAACTGATCTCAGATAGTTCTTTAAGAGATTCTTATTGTTTTGTAAATAAATGTTATAAATTAAAACAGAATGATACACAATGCCTATAGCATATTATTTCTTAATTGTACTGTTTGTGCAGGACTGAGCTTATATACAAATAAATGATGTTCTGTATATTCATTGACAAAGATTATAAAAATTTTCAAAAAAATTAAAAATGTAATTTGTAATTTAATTAATTACTTTTGCAAAGTAATTGTAATTTAATTAATTACATGTCTTAGAAAGCCTGTAATTTAATTGTAATTTAATTGAAGAAAAAGTCAAAGTAATTGTAATTTAATTAATTACTTTTTGAAGTAATTGACCCCATCCCTGCAGCAAATACAATTTATCATTGAGTCAAATGCTGACTGACGTTTTTCATACTAATTGTTAGGCCATTATTTACACACTGAATTGTCGACGGATTTTCCGTTATTTCCCGATCATGACAAGGAGCACACGGCGGGTGTGACCGGTCGGCAGGGGATGCTCACTCCTCCATGGCACCTGATCCCACCTCTGATGTTTAGAGGTCCATGTTTGCTCTGCTCCTATTTTGTATTGTTTAATGGACTTTTGAGCTTGAATACTGTTCGTTATCTCCATATATTTCATTAAAGGGTTTTCAAATTATTTTCGACAGAAACAAGATAACGTCTTAAACTTTACTTGACATATTATCCAGAAATAATTTGAAGTAGTTCACAAGTGTGTGACTTTGACCTTTGACTCCTTAACCTCGAAAAATATGGGTCATGTTTTAGTTATAGACAGTATTAAAATGAGTCTGGAAACCAGTTCATACCATATATGAACTTGTAATTTTGACCAATCACGTTTGGGCTCCAAATCAAAAAGGATCCTTATGATTAGTTAAAGAGAGATACCACAATATTTGAATTTCCGACAATGAACTTTTGACGACAATAAAAATAGGAGTCATTTTTAAGTCAGTAAAATTAGAAGGTGATGATCTGAAATTTTATTGCTAAAGCTTAGTAACATTTAGAGATGTCATCCGGAGAGTGAAGAGTATTCATATTACATACGAATTTGTGACCTTGACCTTTCACTTTTTGGCCTCAAAATCAATAGTGAAGATTAATCAAGAGAGAGTTATCACCCATGAACCGCTGGACCAAACAAAATGAAATTTGTATAAAAGTTTCATTACAAAATATACATTAAAGTTTATTCAAATAATGACCGCCAGGGGTAGGGCGGGGTAACAAGAGGGGATCAAATTTATATACAGGAATATATATAAGTAATATCTTTAAAAATCTTCTCAAGATCAGCAAAACCAGGAATAGTCATATTAATAGAGAAGCATCTTCAGGTAGTGTAGGTTCAAGTTTGTTCGAACCCTGACCCCGGGGTAGTCTGGGGCGACAAGAGGGGATCAAAATTATAGGAAGATGTAGAAAAATCTTCTTTTCAAAAATGCTTTTAGCCACAATTAGCCATATTTAAATGAAAGCATCCTCAGGTAGTGTAGATTCAAATTCAAAACATGACCTCTGGTGTAGGCCGGGGCAACAATTGGCGATTAAAGTTTTACATAGGAATATTTTTTAAAATATTTTCTTAAAATCTTCTCCAGTCTACATTTTTTTTTACAGTCACCTACACCTGTTTAAAGATGGAGCTACATCTTCACCGAACTCTGGGATATTACATCATCCAGGTTTATGTGCCAAGTTGCCTCATTGTGATATTATCCTGGGTATCATTTTGGTTAAACGTGGAATCAACACCAGCCCGAATTTCCTTAGGGTTGTTGACAGTTCTAACTATGACGACACAAAGCTCAGGCGCAAAAGCCTCATTGCCTCGAGTCTCATATGTAAAGGCCATTGACATATGGATGTCAACGTGTTTGATATTTGTGTTTGCTGCTTTAATTGAATTTGCGTATGTGAATGTATTAGCAAGGGTTGAACAACGAAGAGGAAAATCTGTGATGTCAAATATGAACGAAGCTAAGGAGGATGAAGTAAGTTTAAAAATACACTACCAGTACTGTGAATCGTGTTCAAATCAGACTGGAACCTAAATAAACCAGACTCTTTAAAAAAGAAAATTAGCATTTACAAACACGTAAACATAATACAGTACACATCTTATTTTAGGAAGAAGAAAAGGAAAAGAAGAAATGTTGGTGTTTTAGAAATCTCGAGGACAGAGAAAGGGCACGATTGGTGGACAAAATATCACGTGTTGTTTTTCCCACTGTCTTCATAGTATTTAATATCATTTATTGGATAACTTACGTGTTTTGGGAACCAGAGACCGTAGATTAAACGAACCAGTGATTTTATAATAATTGCCAATATATATGTACATTTACGAACTTCTGTGTTGACCAATGTGTACTTGTAAAAATGTAATCCCAGGTTGTCTCTTATAACTACAATTTATGGTATTTCCATTATCTCTATGTATTGTTGTATACTTCAAAACTGAAATTTTCCAATGTACAAGCAAGTGATCATATTTTAAAACTGATGACTTTTTGGAGATTGATGGATTTTGATCTTTTTCCAGTTAAAAATACCCTCAGGTCACCAATGCTTTGTGATGTAACTCAGGGTGCAACTTAAGTACAGTTCTGTCTAAAAATCATGCAAAGGGTGATATATGAGGGTTCTCAGAATTTGATGATTTTCCACACACAGTTTTCTCTCGCACTATGAACCGTGTATGCAAAAGGAAAAATGTTTTGATTCACGGTTACCATGGAAACATGGGTAAAGAAATTTCCCTAGCAACCAGCCAATTTTCAGCTTTGATGGACTAAAAAATCTGTTATCTTTCAGGCTCAAATTAAATGTAAATACTAAAAGAATTTCTTTTTCATTGCTGTTATTCTCAAGATAATGATCTTAACAGTTTTCACAATCAAAAATATAGAAATAAGATTTAAAGATATATCTGTGATAGATGTGGGAATATATGCATGTTTTTCCTTTTTTGCTGACTCAGCATTTTCTTTGATTTTGGAATTATTCAATGTCTAATTACTCCGGTGATGGACCTCATACAGACATCCTGTGTATATAAAATGAAAGCAGAGGATTTTGCCTTTTAGAATTGGAATTCAGAAGCGTATAATTTTTAAACATTCCTATCCGTTGCCTAGCAACAAAAATGGATGTTTTGATGAATAAAAAGAGAAAAAATGTAAAATGCTAAAGTCAAAAGTCACATAACTTGTTATCTTTGAATACTTAAAACAAATTTTACAATAAATTGAAATTTTTGAGACTTCTCTGCAAACTAGGGAATGTTTAACAATTTGTTATCTCCATGGTAACAGCAATTTCCCCTTAGCAACACATCATAGAATGATGATTTTAGCATGTTAACGTACCTGTTGTTAAGGATTCTTCAAAGCATGCTGTAAAATTGTGATTAGGCAAATTTTACAATGCAATTAGCATCTTACGAAATTCTATTTTTCACTTGATTTTCCCATGGCAACGATTCTGAGCACATAGCAACCAATGTAACCTATGTAGAGTTAAGAGTCATTCTATGTAGGAATTTCAATTGTTTTGATACTTAGAATCAAGATTACAGGGCATTGTTATGTAAAATCTATGCTGGTACAAAATATACATAAATGTATACATTTGCAATCAAGATTTAAAAATGCAAACTAAGAATGTTACCATGATAACGGGTATAAACATTTTTGTTTATATTATTTCAGCTTTATTTCTTCATTTTCATTCAGAGCTTTCTAAATTAATAAAAAAAAAGAAATATACATGTACAAGCCGGGTTTTCATGTTTGAAAAAAAATATTAATACACTTCTTTAATTATTATTTCTTGAATGAAATAAATTCATTTTTTTTATTAAAGTATTTTATAAATGAATTTTCGCATTTTGGCATAGTTAAAATTGAACCTGATGTGGGATTTCCTTGGGGAAATCCTACTTTAGAGACTTTTTCCGGGAGGAAATCCTACTCTAGAGCAAGTTTTCCAGGGGGAAAGATTTTATTAAGGATTTTTTAAAACATGCTATAGAGCGCTCGCTCTGTGATCGGAAGGTAGTGAGTTCGAATCTTGGCCGCGACTGACCTAAGTCGATAAAAAATAGGTAGCAACTGTTCCTTCACCATGTGCTCGGCACTTTGAAGCGAAAGTTGCGGGTTCTTCGGATTAGACCTTAAAAACTGAGGCCCCGTGTCACGGCTGGCTTTGGCACGATAAAGATCCCTCACTGCTCAATGGCCTTGAGTGCTGAGTAAAGGTCAAAATTTGAAGCCCTTCACTGGTATATGGTGACATCTCTATATGAGTGAAAAATTCTCGAATGGGACGTAAAACAATACACAATCAATCAATCAGTCAAAGCATGCTGTAAAACTGTGATTAGGCAAATTTTAAAATGCAATTAGCATCTTAATTTATCTAATTATCTTAATTAATTTTTTTTTATTTGATTAACCCATGGCAACGATTCTGTGAATATAACAACCAATGTAATCTATGGAAGGTTGAGAGTCATACTCTTAAGCACTTCAACAGTTTTTGTTCACAGAATGAAGACTACGGAACATTGACAATTAAAGTGATTGCTGGTAGAATATATATATAAATGTTATACATTCTGCAATCAAGTCTTAAAACCAAAACTAAGAACGTTACCAAGGAAACTGATGTTGATATTTTTGCATATATAACTACTGCCTGTAATGCGCCATTTGATTTGTTAAATTTTACTCTAAATCATAAAACCTGTGTTGAATTCGTACAATATGACCAATATTAAAAAATCTATCAATCATCTAGACGTTGCTTTTAAAAATTGTACATTTTAACCTTAATTGGGATGATGGGGAATCATTTACGATTTTATTCACCTCTCCCTTAGAAATATATGTTTTGTTAGAATACACTGAGTTTGCGACACGTTTGAATTTGACCGACGGGTTTTGTGGAAAAAAGTTGAAAAAATAAGAAATGAACAACAGGCAGATGGACAGACAGACAGAAGACAGGTGATCAGAAAAGCTCACCTCGGTCCCTTTCTTAATTTTGTAGTAATGTTCCACCTGCTTGTGGTGTCTATTCGCTACTCAAGAGCTTGCTCTGAGTACCATCAATTTTTAAAGCGAGGCATGCTACTCACTGATAAGTTGATGTTACAAGGATCTCAACAACCTCGTTTAAAATTGGTATTTTGTAAATTTTATGGTCGTTATAATGACCTTGGTAGCAAATATCATTGGGTCGTGTTTGGATGACTTGTTTCATACCAATTGTTAGGCCTTTGTTTTATACTGAATTGACTATGGAAAGTTCCATCATCCTGATAATTACATAGGGCTCACGGCAGGTTCGACCGGTCAACAGGGGATGCTTACTCCTCCTAGGCACCTGGTCCAACCTCTGGAATTTCCAGGGGCCCGTGTTTTATGCCCTCTTCACATATTTGTAAATATTGTTTAAATAGATTTTATGAGATCGATCACTGTTTGTTATCTTCACCTTTTACATTGAAACTTCTGTATAGGTGAACTTATTGAAATGGTTCAATCAATGCGAAACTAGAAAATGAAATAATTTGCTGTTTTTAAACTTTTCTATATATACCTGTACGAAATGTTTCGCCCGGAATATAGGGGGAATAGTGGCGTACTTTAAGAAGGATTCCGGGCGTCAGTTTGTCTCACTACATATATGGTGTTATGGAGGTTCCGGGCGTAAACCAAGAGGAAACCAAGCGGAATTGAGCAGGAATTTGAGGTGAAAAATGCAAATGAGTTACGCCCGGAAAAATAAATGACGTCTGGAAAAAAATTACGCCTGGAAACTAAAATGATGCCTGAAGCAGAATTATGCCTGGAAAGTCCTTATTATCATATAATACTATGTGACATAAAAACCTATACAGCCAAGAAAAGCAAAATTATGATTTACAATGTTAAAGTTGAAAATTTAGCCATTTGAACAGTAAGAAAACATAATGACAAGTCATTAACATCTAAAATAGTATAAAAATATATTATGATATATGAGTGCCTCTATGTCATCTCAGAATGTGTTCAAGGAAACTCGAATAATCTAAAGAGTCAATAACAATCATTGTGCATTCAAATTTACCTAAATAGGTATCAAATATTAATTATCACACCTACCAGCAGATACTGTGTCACCCAGAACAAGTGTAAAAGCCTTAACATTGATATAACTGTATTTCTGATTTCACTCACACTAAAGTCCCTCCATCCTGATGAAATTCAAACTTAACCTCCTATCTGAAATGACCCTTAATTGATAATTAAATGGACCAATCAGAGGCTTTTACTCCTCCTGAAAGTTCCAGGCGTAATTTTTGTCTCAATTTTCCTGCTATTTTACACCAGGGAAAATCGGAACTTGCAAATTGACGCCCGGAATGTAGAAATGATGCCTGGAAGACGCCTCTTCTACTCAGGCATAACTTTTCAAAAGTCCGTCTCTGTCTCAAGTACGCCCGTAATAAGCCAATTCCTGCTATATTCCACCCATATTCCAGGCTGAATTCGCCTTTAAATTTCATGCAAGTCGTAAAACATGCTTACATCGAAGTACCAGGGATAGACAATTTTAATACACTATAAAGAAGATGGGTGAAGAAGGTGGGCGAAGTGCCTATAGTGCGACAAACATGAAGCGAAAAATAAAATCTCAATTATATCAAAATTTTCTTTGATATTTCATCTCACTTTAAAGTAAAATCTCTACAATTTACAAAAATCTCACACAGACTGAAATTATTTGCCTACGAAATAGCATACACACACTAAAGAGGACAAAATGGATCATTTTCTCACACTTTAACAAATTTTTTCGATATGAGTGGGTCTTCGCTCCATTTTTTTGAAAGTTAATCCTAAAAGTTTGCATAAAAATATACATTTTTTGGTTTGCAAAAACATGGAGCAAAGACCCACTATACCTTAGAAGTACACTTGTATGACAAAGCATTCGCATCTTTCCGAGAAATACTTGAAGTCCATTAAGTCAAGGGTCATATCACAAACATGATTTAAATGCCACTATTCATCAGGAGCTGTGTAGCGTAGTGGTTAGCGTGTTAGTCTCAAAGCAATATGATACTCCGGATTTTTATTGATTGGGCTTCGAATCACGAATACCATTTTATTTTTTTAATAAAAGAAGAAATTTTTCCGAGATCTTTTTTTCTCAGAAAAGTTTTGTTGATCATAATTTCATAAATTTCAATAATGAGAACTTTTACTTTAAATACTTAATTCACAAATTGAATATGATTTTTCTAATATCTGAAGCTATAGGCATTCTGCACGCCTTGTTCACCCATCTTCTTTATCTTATGGGTTGTATCCACCACACATGTGAGATTAAACTAATTACGTTTAATCTTATACTTGTGCTGGATACTACCCATAAGATAAAGTTATGCTTTATCCTTGCGTATGCTTTATAAATAGCACTTCCGGTTTTGACACAATCCCATGCTTCAAAACGTAAAATTTTCGAAACTTTTATTTTTGAAAGTGTTTGCGTTTTAACATAAATGATAATTA